GCTCGCTCCTTAAAAAAATCGCACCGTCCCAAGAAAAGCAAATAACCATTCCAAATTTTTACCATTTTGAAAAGACGCTTGGCTCTTCAGACGTCGGAAGTTTCAAAAAAATCCCGTTAAATACCGAATTTTTCCAGGTTAGTAAATATCGGTCTCAAAACGGAGGTTTTTCAGAACTGCGCTCCTCTCATTTAAAATTATCCACTCTTACAAACTAAAGCAACTGACAATTTTAAACTTTCACCATCTTTCAAGAACACTTAAGTAGTTACGTGCCAAAAGTTTCATGAAAATCTCCCTAAATCCTGATTTTCCAGCTAAGTATATTTTGGTCTCAATCGACAATTCGTTTGAACCGCGCGCTCTCCTTTAAAAATTCGCATCTTCCAAACAACAGCAACTAACAAACAGACATTTTTGCCATCTACAGAAGAGACCTGACTCTTGCAGTGATAAAAGTTTCGTAAAAATCTCCTTAAATCCTGATTTTTTCCAGCTAAGTATATTTTGGTCTTAATCGACAATTCGTTTGAATTACGCTCCCTCCTTTAAAAATTCGCATCTTCCAAACAACAGCAACTAACAAACAGAAATTTGTGTCATCTACAGAAGACAACCGGAGTCTTGCAGTGATAAAAGGTTCATAAAAATCTCACTAAATCCTGATTTTTTCCAGCTAAGTATAATTTGGTAAAAATCGACAATTCGTTTGAACCGCGCTCTCTACTTTAAAAATTCGCATCTTCCAAACAACAGCAACTAACAAACAGACATTTTTGCCATCTACAGAAAACACCTGACTTTTGCAGTGTTGAAAATTTCTTAAAAATCGCCCCGATTTCCGATTTTTAGCAGCTTAGTAAATGATGGTCACAAAATGGACGTTTTCACTGAGCTGCGTTCTCCCATTTAAATAATCCAATCTTCGAAAATAAAGCAACTGACAGTTTAAAATTTTCACCATCTTTCGAGAACGCTTAAATCGTTACGTGCCGAAAGTTTCATAAATATCTCTCTAAATCCTGATTTTTTGCAGCTAAGTATATTTTGGTCTTAATCGACAATTTGTTTGAAACGCGCTCTCTCCCTTAAAAATTTGCATCTTCCAAACAACAGCAACTAACAAACAGGGATTTTTGCCATCTACAGAAGACACCTGACTCTTGTAGTGATAAAAGTTTCATAAAAATCTCCTTAAATCCTGATTTGTTCCAGCTAAGCATATTTTGGTCTCAAAATCGACAATTCGGTTAAATTGCGCTCTCTCCTTTAAAAATTCGCATCTTCCAAACAACAGCAACTAACAAACAGAAATTTTTGCCATCTACAGAAGACACCTGACTTTTGCAGTGATAAAAGTTTCATAAAAATCTCCTTAAATCCTGATTTTTTCCAGCTAAGTATATTTTGGTCTGAAAATCGACGATTCTTTTGAATCTTTTTTAATTTCTATTTTTTTTAAATCGCACTTTCCAAACAACAGCAACTAACACTCCAAAATTTTCAACATCTTTAGACGACATGTCACTATTGAGATTACGAAAGTTTCGTAAAAAATTCTCTAAATTCTAATTTTTGTCGGCTTATTAAAAATCGATCGCAAAATGGAAGTTTTTACTGAACTACGCTCCCTCCTTTAAAAAATTGCGTCTGCCAAACTGAAGCAACTTACAACCTGAAATTTCTTCGAAAATCTTCCCCAATCCTAATTTTTACCAGCTTAAAAAATTTTCAAAAAAAAGTTCAAACTGAAGCAAAGATGTATTTGACATTTTCACCATATTTAAAAGACGCTTGACTCTCACGAAGTCGAAAGTTTCATAGCAATCGCTCTAAATCCTGATTTTTGCCCGCTCAGTAAATGTGCATTACCCTTTAAAAATTCCCTTCCACCAAACTTGAGCAACTAACAATTTCATTGTGCGCCTGGGCTGAGTCTTGGCCTCCTCCCTACCCAGACCTAAGTCTAAGTGCACGCTTTCGAGTACGAAAATAAATTATTTTAAGCTCTTTGAATGATGCGGTTATTTAAACTCGATTTATGCTTGCTCTTGCCACTTTTCCAAAACCAGTTGAAATCATGGTATGATGAAAAAGTAAGTTTTTCCTTGAATCCTTCTGGTAATACACAGAGCGTTTGATTTGATTGGAAAACTAGAAGGTGGACTGACGATAGAAACATCATCGTTAAACTGAAACTATCGAGTAGAGGTAAAGATATCAAAGCAAACATGAAAATAGTCAAGACAGGTGGTCGGTATTTTAAACGTTCCTTGAAGAGTCGGCAGTCCGGCTCCATTTATTTGTTGTCAAAATAAGTCGCACATCCACTATGTCTTGCGTGTAATTCGGGACTTAATCTTTTTAAAATTCGTGACGTGCGTCTGGCATCAATGAGTTTAAAATGTGCCATTTGATGGTTCCAGACCGGCAACTTATAAATAGAGAAATTGATGAACATGTTCAAGAACCGCGGCCCGTCACACACGCTCGTCTAAGCACAGTCAAAGCCTGCATTTTCGCCTAAATTCAGTAGATTATTTATATTTTTCCATCTGTTATTTAAAGGAAATCGATGCCAATAAATATCTTCATCATATCGGTCAAATGTTTGGTAATTTTTGCGTGCCCGTGCGTTTTCAATGCGCCCTTTTTTCAGT